CTCCGATGGGATGAGAGACCAGTCCAAGGCAGGAAGTTCCAGGCTAAGACCATTCCAGTTGACTCACACGTCGAACTGGACCTAATATTCCTTTCAAGCCACCAACAAAGTGTTGTTGAGCAGTTTGATGCGAGTGCTTGGAGAAACAGCAACAACAACTTGCACTTATACAGCGCCCTTCATGCCATCTACGTCTCGTAGCGTTTGCTCTAAGGTGGCTGCCCAGGTGTGGCTATTAGTAACTGTGAAGGGCAACGGATCATGGACATTTCGAGCATCTTTGCTCTCAATCCTTGCATCACAGTGATGGCAAGCCAATAAATAGAAAGCCACCCACAAACACACACACACAGAATCCCTCACAAGCCTCTACATTCATCCAATCCAGCAAGAATGTTACCTTCACACTCCAGGTATTGCAGTGCCATATTCTTCCAGTTGTACCTCCTCTGAGCGTGAACAAGTGTTTGTCGAGCGTGTGTGTTTTTTTTAAATTGTAGCTGCGTTAGGTTTTACTTATTAGTTATGAAATCGCATGTTAAATCAAGACCAACGCCATTTGAAAAGATCCCCTTTGCACAACTGCACAACAATGCTGAACGCATGCTCCCACCCTCGAGGTCAGTAGCAAGTTACCTACATGACTGGCTCTGTGGAATTGTGCCCCGCTTACAGAAATTAGCGCCGAAAATACAACAGTCACCGCGACCAGCTTCAAACACTTAACCTGCCCTCTGATTTGGGCCAGCAGTGGGCTTTCTCTTTGCTTCTCTTTGGATTCATGTCGCTTGATTTGTGTTTAAATCCACTTGGAAACAATCTTTTAACACATTCTCAGTGAGGCTCAGATGCATTCAGCGTGGTTACTGGCTGCAGGATTTTAGGGGAAAAAATCTCCAGCGCTCCAACACTTGTACAGAACAAAAGAACAACATACAAGGGGATTGTTGCCTTGTACATGTATCAGGGACTTGTGGAACGGGTTAAGTTACTCAGCCTTTTTTTGTATGTGTGGAAAACAAAGACCCCTTTACATTTTTTCTCTTCACGTGACCGAGTTCCTGTTGTGGCGTGAAAGATAATAGAGAGAAGCTCCAGCTGGTTGGTCTTTTATCCGACGGGAGGAGCAGAGGTTGAGATCTGGGTCAGGCTGAAGTGGGGGTGGGACAGGGCCAGACCCTGGGAGTGATGCCAGAATCGCTGATGCCTGGGGAATTTGTAGACTGCCAAAATGAAGACGCAGCTCACATCCTTTTCATTAGTAGAGTTTACAAATCGTGCAAATTGCAGTGTCGAGTTTCCCATCCTGGACGAGGACAGCAATGTTTGAACATAAAATCTTAAGAAGCGACTCAGACTTGCGTGGGCAGAGCAAGAAAAAAATAATCCTTGCATTTGATACAGTGCCTTATTACATCTTTGAGATGCCTCAACAGCTTCACAGAATATATTTTGTGGGTGAAATCCACCCGGAATCTCATTGTCTTTATTATACTAAACAACTACTTATTGAAATGTAATCTGATCACTTAATTAATTTGAAACTTTTAACATTTAATAATGATCTAAACAATTGGATTTGCTCTTGTTGCAAAGTCACATACCAAGTTTTCTCCTTAAACTCGCGATGAGACTGTGAAACCTTACAGCCTGAGGCAACTCCCAAATACATTTCTTCATTTCTACACAATGTGAATAAACTTTGTTCTGGCCAATATTGTTCCGGGAGGAAGGAAGGAAGAGAGGAGTCTCTAATTCACAAAATGTCTTAAAGGATCGCTGGCACTTCACACTTTCCACCACTCCTGCTAAAATAATAATTACGTTTGAAATAACGTCTTATCACGTCTTCTAACCGTCTCAAAGCGCTTCACAGAACATATTATAAAGTGAACTGACTGTATATTTTGTAAATAAAATACAAAACAATGGCCATTATAAGGCGCCTCACTGAAGCGAGTGTCTGCTTACAATGCTGTAATGTCCAGCACAACAGGTCAGCTGCAGTGACTCTCATCACTCCCGTGAGTGTTTCGAGTGCTGGAAATGCTGGCTGAGAGGAACCCGCTATCGGCATACTGCGCTCACGCGTGTGGAAGATGGCCAATTCGTGCCAGAAAGGATATCGGCAGTGACCCAACGACCCAGAGGTGGGTCTGGCTGACGGCTATTTTTTTTCTCCGAACTAGTTCTAATTATATGGACAGAAAACACGGGGTTATAAACAGAGTCATGCTGTAGCTCCCTTTCAAGGCATTTGTTACAGCTGCTTCACTTGTGGGGTTGAACACTCTGAACTGTCAAGCGCTCTGGGACGCTATCCTGCATGAGGCGCGCTGTATAAATGTAAATTGTTGTCGCTGAACGAACGGGACAGCAGAGCAAGCCACGGGTGGACAGCTCGGCCTTAATAATTCTCCCCCAGATAATCTGCACTTTTTTAAAAAAAAAACGTGAAAGATCCTATATAAAAGCAAGCTGCTGCTGTCGTTTGCAAAATAAGCCTCGAGTTTTACACCCAAAATAGCAAAGGAAGCAGTCGGTGCCTGTTTTAAATTACAGCGTCTGAAGTACTGTTCAAATCAGTGTGGAAGATGTAGCAATTTCAAGCGGAGCCATTTACTATTACTGTAACGCAACGTGAACTAGCTGGTTTCACAGTTTCATCAAGCTGTACGTCAGTAGCACTCAAGTCAGTGTGCTCCAGGTAAATCCTTGCTGTGGTAAACAAGATTTCACTATGATTAGGTCCAACAGCAGCAGGCGCAACCACGCTCCACTGTGCTTCAACAATAAAAGGGTGTTTTATCACTGTATTAAATCGGTTTATGAATGGGGATCTTTGGCACAGGCCGGTCGAGTGGCTTGCGAATCTACCGGATCAGGATCTAAAAGCATCGAGTCCCACCGACCCATTCCACCTTCACTGTAATGCCGTAAGTGTTGTGTTCCTGCCACTAGAGGGCCTCTGTGTGCCGTACCCACAGCACAGGTTTGCTCAAGTGACAGAAAACACACGGCAAGATTTCAATTTACTTTAACAGGTTCTACAGCCCTCCGCACAGAAGATTTCCACAGGCTGCAGACCTTGGACCACTGGAATTGATGTCAGTGCACTTAGTGTCTGATCCTACCACAGACCCCACGTATCAGCCCAGCCAGCGCTTTCACCTCTGGGTCAGAAGGCTGTGTGTGGGTTCAAGCCCACATCAAGCCTTTACTATGTAGTCTTAGCTGGCACTGCAGTGCAGTAATGCAGGGAAAGCTGCATTGTCGAAGGTGCTGGCTCTCAGACGAGACGTTAAAACTTTTCGAGCGGACATTACAAGTTCTGGTGATAATTCAAACAGAGAAGGAAGTTTCTCCCAGTGCCGTGGGCAACCTTCCTCCAGATACATTGGTCAGGCACCTCAAACAAGGCTGTTTGTGAGATTTTGCTGCATTCAAGGTGTCTGCCTAAAACGCCAACTCGCTACACTTGTCAGGATTTACTGTAAAGTGCTTTGATCTGATATAGCACTAAGTAAAATGCAACCTTTCTTTCTGAACATCGCAGAAATAACTAAATCAGTTCAACTGGTCTAATCCAAAAAATCTGAAAACTTCTTATCACACGAACACACTGAGACTAAATATATTTTTTAAATGATAGCCAATGTGAAAATAGTGCTGCACTGATAAGAACAGGCAATGAATGGTGCATGATACAACAAGCAGTCCATTTAAAGGTTTTCTAAAAGATAAACAAATGAACTTTAAAAATATATATGTGTGTATATATATATTCACAATTTCTGCTGTAAAATGATGTCCAAAGTTTTTATGACCTTGGGAAAAATTGGTAGTCAAAGATCGCGGAATGTTGCCAGTTTATTTGAGGGAATGGTTTCCTTTTCGAAATATATTATGTGCAGATAAACAAAAGTCTTCCGCACTTTCAATGGCAAAATGTGGATCAATATTTTCTCCTTTATCACCTTCAGCTTAATAACCCAGTTTACAGCGCGAATCCCAGGTGACTTCGCTCGCAGCGAAAAATCATTCGCTAATTCCTTTTTTCATTTAGTAGACAGACCACAAACTTCGGGTCCCTTCAGTGCTTTTACACACATTCCTGCTTGAGTCGATGACAGGGTTTTTACAAGACTGAAAGCTAAGTAGAATTTCGCAGTCAACCAGAATTCTCAACGCTTTTTTTTAAAATCCTTCGGGGTGTGAAACTTTTTAGTTAAAAACGGCGCAAGAACTGAGCTGCGACTCAATAAATCCGCACCACGACCTGCGCGCGAACGCAGATGGACTTTAAAGTTTTTATTCCGCCTCATAAAGTCCAAATGAGTAATTTATTGTCATAATGAAACATTTCTATTCATGCATGATTGCCCAGAGTATTATGACTGGGGTTTCTCCACACAATGATTGTGCTGAAGCAAGTAAAAGCATGCAGTCAGTCAGGCAGAGTTCCAAACAAGAATGTTGATTAGATCACACTGGATCAAAAGCCTTTTGAAAATATAGACTAGACGGACGGCAAACATCAAGGAGCACACTCGAGAGAACTGGGGTTGTTTTCACCAGGACAGAGGGCGTTGAGAGGAAACCTTGCGGAGGTAGTCATTGTTATGGGAGGGGAGAGAGGCAGGGGCTGGTGAGGTAAGTAGGGAGAAATTATTTTTCTCTGATTGCTGAGATAGCAACTAAATTCAAGATCATTATCAAAAGCAAAGGGCGAGATTAGCCCACTTGCCATGAAACTTTAGGAGCAAGTAATAATAATAATATTCCTTGCATTCAATATAGTAGCTTATCACGTCGTCGAAATGTGTCAAAAAGCTTCACAGGATTTGCTGTGTGTGTGTGTGTTTTGTAGGTGAACATAAGAGCCAGTGTGTGCACAGCAACGTGATGCAAACCCAGATGAAGTGAATGACCAATTGTATCTGCTGGTTTTGTTAAATTAAAATATAAACATGGTTTCAAATCTTTCTGTGGAGTATTACCTGGGAAGATTCGGTACGGGACTTGGCGAGGATGACACTGCCACGGATGTCGTCATAGTTGGCTCGGACTGCTCCTGTATCTTGGGAACCTTTCCCATTCTGTACCAGATCCCCATATTGTTCAGTTCCCTAAGAATAGGAGAGAAGCTGATGTATTTGTTTTCCCCAACAGGGACATCAGGTTTGATAAACTACACCAGGGTGGGCCAACCTTTTAGCTGCTGAGGGCCGGATGGATGCCCTATTTGAGAAACATCCGTGGGCCGCATAAGCAATATTTTTGTGTTTCCTTTCCAGAAACATATCATAACATTTATGGATTATGGAGGGAGCAGGTGGGCCAGATGAAATGAAGAGAGGAGGGCGGAATAAAACCAGTTGGACTACCCTGAGCTACACTGTGCTTCACAACTTGGTCACAAGCGACAGGTACATGAAGATCTCAACTCTCAGGTTCTCACAAGCTCATCATCCACATCCTAGTTCAGCTCCATCCTTCCCATTCCCCAGCGACATCCAATTCCAGAGTCTTGTCTTCACGTATCTCTGGGTCTCCTGCCACCCTACCCCCCATAGACAGCCCTGCCTAGGGTGTCAGCCTAACTCTCTAAGGACCGACATCTAATTCTCTCCAGGCTGCTATCTCAGCGTGGACCCTGCTTTCTCTCAGCCTATTGTGGAAAATGGAAGTATTATCAGCTTCCACAAGCTTCCCCTACCTTTTTCAATATAATGAGCAAAGTAAAAAAAATCACTTACCCTATGAAGGTGTACTGAGGGGGAGCTTGTCTTGATTTCCCATAGATTTTTACATCGCAAATGGCGGCTTCAGTCGAGTCTCGAGGAATAAACTTGATGCACAAACGTTTCTTCCTAAATGCTGATTCCTCTGCCCGTGTGAGAGTGAGTGAGAGAGTGAGTGAGTGAGTGTGTGTGTGTCGGTGTGGTTGTAGGGGTGGGGGGGAGAATACATACAGTACAAATTCAAGTAGATTGCTTTGGTCTGAAATAATTTCATGCAGGACACATTTAATGACTATTGATTAAGACCCGATGGCTGGCTGCTTTACTCTGACTCTGGTGAGGCACTTGAATAATTCCACACGCACACATTCATTACTTAATAGAGATTACTGGAATAAAACAGACAAGTGCACAATTGGAAAAACAAGGTTTCCACATCCCCCCAAGGCTTACAATTTTGATATTTTATCACCACAACACGGTGGGTAAGATTGATTTTTTTTTAAGTTTTACAACCAGTTCCTTTAAAATGTTTTGTATTTTTTTGCCAGTGAAGCCACTTAATTTGATCCATAATCTGCTCTGAGAAAGATACAGCGCATCGCCAGACTTGGGAGAAGAGCGCTTTAATCCTGGCCATAAGGGAACACAATTTACGACGACTATTGTGCTTTAACAACCATGAAATAAGAGATCAACTTTTCTAATTCAAAAGTTTAAAGCTACATGCCTTTATCTAATAAAAAAAACAATACTACTTAACCATGTCTGTAGGACATAAAACCCATAACTCACGTGTGTCCATCGTCTCCTGGATAGGAATGAAACCCACTGGTAAAGTGTCCTTTAAATCGATCAGTTTCATATCCACCAGCACATTCCCTAAATGGCTCTTTAAAAGCCACGAGAGAGGAAGCAGGATAAGGCATTACATATGCTACACCATTCCAAATACTTCTGTGTCGTAATATTCGTTTTCTTGACACACAAAGAAATAAACCTCAGGGTTTACCAGCGAAACACAGAAATCAATGGAACCTTTCATAAAAACTTCCCATTCGAACCAACGAGAAAACGGGTGCTTTTAGTCATAAACAAATGCACAGTAATAAGCTTGTCAGCGAGGTTAGCAGCCAATTCCCACTGCCTGCAAACAACCACGGCACATGAAAATGTGTGCACATTATGGATTATTTAGATAAAATCCTAGAATTTTATAGTACAGAAGGAGGCCATTCGGCCCATTGTGTCTGTGCTGGTTCTATCCCCCCACTCCCCACCTGATCATCCTCAACAAAGGGGAAAACTCCCCCACCCCCACACAAATGCCAAAGAACAGAAGGGGACTTGTGTGGAAGGCGACACACCCTTTCAATATCAGACTTATACATGGCTATTGTTTTAGGATTAAGTGGATGTCCTTAAATCAGCAACACTAGAAAGACATCTTTGCCTACTGCACACAGTTCAATTAAAGTGGGCTCACATTTGTCAATGAGGATTTGAAGGCTATGTTTTTGTGGGTATGCCTTTATCTAAGAGTGCAGCTCCTGTGATAAAGTGCTCCGTTGCCTAGTTGACTTACAGTGAAACCTGTTGCACTCACGAGTTTTCAGCTTGTTTTCACTAAAGGCGTAATGAGGTAACAAATCTGTTTAAGTGATGCTGGAATAGGCTGGGGAAACAGCGAGGACTGGAGAGAGAGAGAGAGTGACGCGCCTGAATGGAGGCATTTACAATGTAGTGGTTGTTGGAAATATGACCTTTGTTTAACCTAGGTTTATTGCCCAGGCTTTTTCCCAGAATTGGAACCCAACAGGACCTTTATTGGTATCCAGCAACCATCAGTGAAGTGTCTCTCACAGCACTGAGGCTATTTGACCAATATCCTATGCAGAGACCAATTAGATGCAAGGTCTTTATGCAGTTATGTTGGCTTGCATTTTATTGATGTTACCGGGAGTTGGAAGCAACCAAATGCTTTTGGTTCATTGGTTTATCATAAAACATTTCTGCGTCAAATCACAAGGTCAAGGGGGAGTAGCACTAATAGGAACAGGTGGCAATTCAGTCAATCAACATCAAGTCTGTTCCACCATTTTTATTTGATCATGGCAGAATTCATCCAATTTTCCCACCTTTTCTCCACGTCCCTCAATACGCTTTCATCTCAACTATCTACCCACTTCCCTTCTTAATCGATTCTGCATCTACACCTGTTGGGCAATGTGTTCTACATTCTTACAAACCTCTGCATGAAGAAATGTTTCCGATCTCACTTCTCAGCAGTTTTGCTCTCACTTTAACATCATTTTCATAACGAGGAGTAAAATTTCACAGTCAAATTTTATCTGCTAATAGTTCTGAAGCAAACGTGCAGATAATGATAATAATCCTTGAATTTGATATCGCGCCTTATCACGTCCGACATTGCATGTGATTCCACAGGTCATGGAACTGCCAGGACGGTGGAAGGAGAACTGGATGGACCTTGGTCTTCTTTTGCCTAGCAAATTCTTCTGATCTTATGAATGAAACATCCCCCCAACCCCCCAGTACACACAGACACCTGCAATTAAGTGGCTCTTAAAATGGCCAGTACACTGGCAAGACTTTAAATACATGCTTCTATGTTTTAATAACCATCAACCCTCAGGATTGCTGTCAAAAGGTAAGCAGCGCGGGGTCACAGCACTGAACTTACATTCTCCTTCGAAAATGATCTCGTAAAACAGAGATACCGTGTGACCTTGGATTTAAATATGCCGTCCTTCCAAAGGTCAGCATCCAAGCCATCTGCTGTGTGAGAAATCTGTGAAAACAAGACAGCATGTGTGTGAGCGTTAGGCAGAATCGAGCTAATTCATGAACAGTGAGCTTTCTCTAGTTTCTCTAATTAACACCGACTACTATCACAGCATCTCATTAGACCATTCCACCAGGTACTGAACACACAAAAAAAAACTTACAAAAAAGAGCTTCTAAAAATACAAGTCTCTGGGGAGATGGATGCTGATTAAACCCGCGTTGCAAACAGTTTTAATAAGGGATCTGCAAGTTTTAGAACAATCCTGTGCAAACAGCGAGGATCATACAAGGCACTGGAATTAATAAAAAAAGAAGAGGTGCTCATTACCATACACTTGAGATTCAAACCACATCAGCGGATGCTTAGGTTGCAATATGTTGACAACCTGGGAAGCGATGCACGGGGAAATAATGAGTTGTGCTAAATAAACTAGGTTCGGCACTCCACGTTTTTTTTATCGTCTGTCCCCAAAACACGGATTGCAACTCCTAGCTGGAAGGGACGGGAGGTGGGGGGGGTGAAGGCGAGGGTTTTCTAACCATGTGGTTTCGATTATTTACCTCCAAACTGACCGGAATTTGCAGCTTTAGTGTGAACGAGCGATTCTGTTTAAAAGGTTAGTTATGAATCGCTGTTTATTTTCTCAATTTTAGTAGAAGGTCATGCTTCACTCATTGAGAGACAGACTCCACAAACTACATCAGCTAACAGACGCTTGGCAGATAGCCGTACTGATCTATAAAATTAATACGAATTATTGGAGGGCTAGGTGGCCCAGCTGTTTGATGTACCCGTATCAGGTATATTCTCCTTCAGCCATCTGGGACACACGCCCACGTCAAGGCGATCAGTGCATGTCTCCTCTCACTGATAACCACTGCCGAACAGCACAACAAAAGCCGTGCTGGCAATCGCACAGGAAACAGGTAGATTCCTGCAAACCAGCTCGGCATGTGTAGGCCACAAACACATGCACTCAAACACACACACGCACTCTCAAACACACACATGCACTCTCAAACACACACACTCAAACACACATACTCAAACACACATACACACCCACTCAAAGACACACGCACTCAAAGACACATACATGCACACACTCAAAACACACACACACACTCAAAACACACACACTCAAACACACGCACGCACTCAAACACACGCACGCACTCAAACACACGCACGCACTCAAACACACGCACGCACTCAAACACACGCACGCACTCAAACACACGCACGCACTCAAACACACGCACGCACTCAAACACACGCACGCACTCAAACACACGTACGCACTCAAACACACGCACGCACTCAAACACACGCACGCACTCAAACACACGCACGCACTCAAACACACGCACGCACTCAAACACACACGCACGCACTCAAACACACACGCACGCACTCAAACACACACGCACGCACTCAAACACACATACTCAACACACATACTCAACACACACACACACACTCAAACACACACACACACACTCAAACACACACACACTCTCAGGGGGGAAGCAGGGAGATCAAAAGCACGGACAAAGAGGAGGATCTTGAGGTGGGTTTTCAAGGTGGCGAGGGAGGGGGCGTGACGGAGGGACTGCGGGATGGAGCTCCAGAGGGTGGGGGACGTAAAGCAGGCCGGAGCACTCAAACACACACACTCAAACACACAGACACCTCTCACACACACACACACGCGCACCTCACGCAGGCCCGCCCCTCACACACACACCTCACACATACAGACCACACACCCACCTCACATATACACCTCACACACACGCACACCTCACGCACGCATGCACCCCTCGCAGGCGCCCATCCCTCACGCACGTGTCCACCCCTCACACACGCGCTCACTCCTCACGCATGTGCACACTCCTCACGCACGCGCACACTCCTCACGCGCGCGCCCACCCCTCACGCGCATACCCCTCACGCACCCGCACACCCCTCACTCACACGCACACCCCTCACGCACGCGCACCTATCTCATGCACACACCTCACACACACCACACCTACCTTGCACACACCTCACACCACAACAACAACAACCACTTGGATTTATATAGCACCCTCCATGCCGGACGGCGTCTCAGAGCCCTTCACAGTAACGGATCCCGGAACCAAGCCAGGGGGAAGGGGAGGAAGGTGACCAAAGGCGCATGCCATGCACACGCTATGCACACCACGCCTCACATACACGCCTCACACACACACACACACGTATACGCACAGACCTTGCACACACACACCTTGCACACACACACACACACATCTCCCACACACACCCACACCGTCCACATACACCCACACCTCCCACACACACCCACCCCTCCCACACACACCCACCCCTCCCACACACGCACCCACCCCTCTCACACACGCACCCACCCCTCCCACACACACCCGCCCATCCCCCACCCACACATCCGCCCCTCCCACATACACACATGCCCCTCCCACACGCACACCCACCCCTCCCATACGCACACCCGCCCCTCCCACACGCACACCCGCCCCTCCCACACGTACACCCGCCCCTCCCACGCACCTCACACGCACACACCCGCCCCTCCCACGCACACCCCTCACACACACACACCTCAAACTGTTCTAGTAGTATTGTTACTCCCTCTCTACTCTCAGAGCAATTAATTCCTTTACTCACATACCCTCGTTGCAAATGTCACTCACACCAAGAATAACGACCTTATGTAGGGCACAGTCAATCCTGATGTACATTACAATAGAACATACTATTGGTTCGTCTAGTTACCCATCTCAGCTTCCCAAGATATTCCTCCACCACATCCAACTCATCCCCTAATAACCATTAAGTCTTGGGAATCTGTCTAATACAAATCAAAGTTTAAATATTCAATGCGCAGCCTCCAATACATTAGAATACATTAGAATATACAGCACAGAAACAGACTATTCGGCCCAAATGGTCTATACCAGTGTTTATGCTCCACATGAGCTTCCTCCTACCCTTCTTCAACTAAGCCTTCAATCATAACCTTCTATTCCTTTCTCCCTCATGTACCTCTTTAGCTTTCCCTTAAATACATCTATGCTATTTGCCTCAACAACTCCTTGTTCCATGTTCCACATTTCCACTACTCTGTGTGAAGAAATTTCTTCTAACTTGCGTATTTGATCTATTTGTGACTATTTTATATTGATGGCCCCTGGTTTTGGTCTCCCCCACAAGTGGAAACATCTTCCCTATATCAACCCTATCAGAACCTTTCATCATTTTAAAGACCTCTGTCAGGTCACCCCTTACCTTCCTCTTTTCAGGAGAAAAGAGTCAAGCATGTTCAGCCTTTCCTGCTAGATATAACCTCTCAGTTCTGGGATCATCCTTGTAAATCTCCTTTGCACCCTCTCCAGTGGCTCTACATCCCTTCTATAATGTGGGGACCAGAACTGCACACAGTATTCTAAGTGTGGTCTATCCAAGGTTCTATAGAAGTTCACAATAACTTCCCTGCTACGAGGGTTGGAAGCCACTCATAGGTGTGGGCCACAGTTACATTAGTGACTGAACACTGCTTATTTCCTCCTTTAGCTCCAAGCAGGTTTGGAGAAGTAAAAGCCACAAACTCTAAAAAGAGTTAAAACTATAGTTCAGAGATATTCAAAAGTTCAAGACAGACTGACTTACGACATCGTAACTGGAGGGTGCCTGATAGCGAGAAGCAGCGACTCCCACGCCTGTGATCGGATCCATGGGCATGTCCAGCAAAGTTTCGTGAAAATCCCTGACTTCAGGCATTATAGGACGATGCTGGAAAGCAAAGGAAAGAAAAATTAAAACAACTCTCCTTGGATTGGAACGGTCAGAAAACAAATCGTGCACAAGAGACGACCCAGGCCAGAGACAATGACAAGACACTCGACACCACAGCTCACGTCAGATCTCTCAATTGTAAGTGGATCTTGAGACACTTTAAGGCAAGGATCCAAACACAAATTGCATAACAGCAGCAGAATCAAAGTGGGCAGATTTTTGAAGTCACAAACTATCTTATCACTGTTAACAATACTTCTCGACAAGCCCCCGGTTAATAGAGTAGTAATTCAAGTAATTCAGTCAAGATTTCCTTGCACTTGAGTTTCCACAAGTAGTGGGCACATTTACATACCACAAAATTACCCCAAATGCTAGGCATCTGCACCACAGACAAGATTGATTCCCTCTAATTTTCTTTAACTGCACAACTCTGGGGTTGACGAGAAAAATCGCTCAAACAGAAAAACTGCAACACAAATGATGCCGAATGACACCAGCGCCGTGGAACACAAAGTGCATCTTCGCAGAGTCCACGCAGGTCTGCGTCTCAAGTTCTAGCTCAGACAAAACACACTGCACTGCAAGTTATGGCAAAGCCCTCTTTTATGCATTATCATTGACAATCATACACATTGGCATTGCTGAAAACATAGCCAAACGAGAAAGGGAAAAATCCTTCATTATGTTTAGTGACAGAAACTTTAACTGCACACACACAAATTGTGTGCAGTAAAGTGAACACATTTCATTTCACAATTTGGTTATATACAGCTGACTCACAGAAGCACTTACGTTCTCCAAGGCATACCAAAGACACAAATATCACTCAAGAAAAAGGAAGGGAGTGCATCATTGGAAGCACTATGTTCAGCTGTAATTTTCGGGCAGTGTTTTGGAACTTCAATAAAAAGGAATCGATATGCACAAAGAGAACAGAAAAAAAAATTCAGATACAATGTGGGAATGTGGCATTCTCTTATCTCAAACCCACGTTGAGGCAATGCCAATAGATTCCTTTGAAAAGAAAGCAGACAGTTGCCTGTAAAATAACATTAAAGAGTGCAGGGTGTGAGCAGAACCTTACGTCTGCGCTGGTCTTTTTCTCCATGTGAGGCATTGAGTTGTTCTTTGCTAAACAAAATTCCAAATGGGATTAGATTTGGTGGTCATGTGGAGAGGATCCTAAACGGGATTAGATTTGGTGGCTCAAGTGGATTAAAAGACCAGGACAGACCAAATGGCCCATTTCCACACCGTAACATCCTTCGAATATGTCAGTATGGCCTTGGCAAGGTTAGTAGTAGCTGCTACTGACTAACTCCCTTCAGATTCACCTCTTCAGAACTGTGACAGGAAGTGGTTGTCCATCTCTTAACAGTGAGAAAGAGGCAGTCAAACCAAACCTTTGTTCCTTTTTGTTACTTACCGCCTGTGGTTCTTTGTTTTTTAAAAAAATTGCCTTGGAGCATTTAGCACAGAATCCTGGTCTCACAGAGAAAGAGTTATTCCTCGACACAACTTTAAAAAGAAAAGAGGCAAAAGAAAATCTCTTCTTTCTTCCCCAAACCCCTAAACATTCCTTGTATTTCAACAGTAGTAAACAAAGGGAATCATTATTGAAACACATTTTCTCAATAGGCTGTGGTCATGTAAAGAGACAGGACTCATACGGAAATCAGCACTTAAAAGACTATCAGGAGAAGCAAAAGAGAGTTTTTTTTATTGCGTCTTTACTTAGGTTCTCGTGACTTTTTGGGTTCATGCTACTGGCTTTATCTTTGTCTAAAAAAACACAGTCACTACACTTTCCAGTAAATCCTGTGAAGCGCTTTGAGATGTCACACCCAACGTAAAAAGCTCTACATCAAGTGCACGGATGATAGTTTAAAATATTACTGTATTTTCTTTTAATCATGTGGAGTTCTGTAGCTCAGTGGTTAGAGCACTCGCTTTGCAAGTGAGAGACCTGAGTTCAATTCCAGGCAGAGGGCGAAACCTTGGGCAAGTTTCCTTACTCCACACAGAGCCTAATAATAATCCCTCCAAAACCAAAAACAATAATTAAATTGGTCATTTTCAATCTACGACTGTTTGTGGGACATTGCTGTGCGCAATTGGCTGCCGCGTTCGCCCACAAATATACAGTCAATTCGCTTTACAGTGTGTTCTGTGAAGCACTTTGGGACGTCCTCCCGACGTGAAAAGCGCTATATCAAATGCAAGGATTATTATTATTATTATTATGAAACAGGGCACTCGTACTAATTCTGTTGCTGCTTGTAATGGACGCTTCTGACCCATAGCCTCTTTATTTACCCTGTTACACCTTAGACATCGATACAGCATGCTGGAAAACTGATTCAGTGTTAGCTAGTCAGAATTGAAGTGTGTCAAACAGATAAACTGTTTTGTTTTCCTACAGGGTTTTAGGTTCCTCACTGGCAGGTCAGGACTGGCAGCAGTTTCAGGTTACACCAGCTGAGTCTCGGTATCACATGTTCTTCACCTGTCACCTGCAATACATCTAAACAGGGTCCAGATTCAGGTCTTCCATGTCCTTGGTTTTGTGTAAGGATAGCAGTGTAAACAATGCGCTGTGAAGTGAAGCCAGTCATTCCACGGCATCTACGTGGGCACTCTTCCCAGTTACAGGACTGAGGCAGAGAGAACGAGTAACGGGCAACAAAATAGATGACAAGAGGCCAGAACACATCAGTGATTCAGAACAGGAGGACAAACCTCAACCCATCGAACCCGTTTCACCATCTTATTACCATGATAGCAGATCTTTTCATCCCATTGCACAGCTTTTTCTCCACAGCCTTGAATACACCAACCTGCACTTTTTTTGGGGTCTGACACATACAGAAACCCATCACCAAGCCCCGAAATAACGTGCGTCTATATCGGAGTTCTCTCACAGAATGCATGTCTGCACCTATCTCACACCTTTTTAAAACATCTCCAGCAATTCTGTATCAAAGACTTTCTGGATATGTTTTTTAAAAAAAACATAATTTGAATCTCAGTTCTACCTTGAGAAGTCCTAAACGTGAGTCAGTCAGCCAGGTGCTACTGAACAGTTTACACCACGATGAAGCAATGGGATCACACAAACTTTAACTGAACACCGTCATTGCTCGTTCCTTCTTGTGAGCAAGTTCAGACTGGTCGTCCTCAGAGACGTTCTGTGCGTGCGTAAAGGGCAACCCGCACCTTCAAAGGCTTCCATTTAACCTCCCACTCCACACAAGGCAGCAAACACAAAACTATTCCCCGAACCACAGGGAGCAAAGTGACGCCACTGATAATGCAGCTCGTCTCCATTCTACGAGCACAGCAGGAAGCCATTCAGCCCACCGTGCCTGTGCCAGCTCTCTGAAATAGCTCTCCATTTAGTTCCACTTCCCTTGCTTTTCCCACTCACCTATATATATATTTTCTCCCATTATTTGTCTATTTCTCTTTCAAAAGCTGTTGTGAGTTTTCGTGCCACACTTAATTTAAAGCAGGACATTCCGTGACCCAATAACTTTCTTTGTTTAAAAAGAAGAAAATTTTCTAACTTCTTTCCACTTTCTTCTTTGGCAATGATCTTAAACCGATGGCATCTAGTTATTGACTCACCGACCAGAGGAAGTAGTTTCTCCTCGTATACATTATCAAAACTTCTCAAAATGTTGAGCACGTAGCAGGCAGGCATCGACAGTGAATAATCCCTCCTACAACCTCACTAGAAGTAAAATGAACCGGCTCTTTGGAAACGTTTTGGAAAAAGAGGCTATATCTAACAATCACAGGATTATTTTGTGAATCAGTAGCAATTTCCAGCAGTTCAATGTCTGTCTTTTCTGTGCCACCAGACGGGACTTAATCTACAAAGATCACATTCAAAGCTATTTCGTCAGCTGCTGTCTGTGCCCTTTGAGGACAGTCGAGCTCTGTACACATCTAGTTACAAACCCTCGCCTGTATTTACTAAGCATCAGTGCTCACAAATCTGGCAACGGGAAGTAGCGTTGTGGTTACAAAAGTCTGAGTTTTTGAGTCATTGCACGACTTCAAAACGGTTCAACGTGGTGCAACACACTGTACTGCACAGTCAATATAGTCACTGGCCCTGTCAGCTCACACTAACTTCCATACCAGCTGGGAATAAAACTGGGAAGTACATTGCAATCGAAAAAAAACACTTTCACTGGTATCGATAGATCTCGTAACATGTGCTAAACCCTATACAAGCAGCTCCTATTGCAAGCCCACGTGTCAAAACACTGGACATTGTGGACATTGAGAAAAAGGCCACAGTGATTTACTTTTTCCAAACATCAAGCAGCCTTATGCACAACACAGTAAACCCAGCCCAGAATATACTCCCTTTCGCAAGGGAGATTTTTTCTATATACCACCAATAAAGTCAAATTATTTAGGGTTTCAAACTGCGATAATATAAAAGCAATTTTTTTACATTTTCACTCCTTCCGGTTTCACCCATTTCCTCCCTCACTCTCTTTCTCTCTGTCTGTGAAAGATTTTTCACTCATCCTTCAGTCATCTTTGTACTTAAAACTTTTGTTTCTGTTAACAAAGTACCTTTCATCCTGTTACTTCCCCCGCCTCCGCTCCCTCTAACCATCCGGTTCACATTCCGTATCAATTCAGCTGCACTCGGAGCTGGAGCAAACAGCACATTCCAAGCCTGCGGTGTGGAAGAGGCCAGAACTTTCGCCGGGGAAAACGGCAGGAACTGGACGGGATGTAAAAGGAAGGCCAAGGTTTCCCTGGGGCCTTGTGGAAAGCAGTCAGAATGGGCGGGAGAGAGCTTGAAATTTCACTGGAGAGTAGAAGTCGATCGACAGGAAAGGATGAGCTACAGAGCAGCCTGTGTCCCGGCCTGATGCAGAGAAACTGATCTCTATCCAACACGCTCTCAATTGACAAACAAAAAAAAAGACCAGAAGTCACACTTCCTTTGATGAGGAAAGATTAGGGTTGGCCCAATGTGTGACAGTCTCTCAAGGCTGGAGGTTTACAATTATCTTTTTTACCCTTGCTGTGTAAAGTTTAAACAGAGTGTTCTCCAGCTACGAATTCTCTCTTTACATTCAGAAAACAGGTTTCACTGGGTCACACCCTGTTAAACGTTGTACATTTCAAATCTGAATTGTTGTTTCATTTCAGATTACAAGTCCACACCTTAACTGCGGTTCAAGACACTCTTAAGAAATCAAATGCTAGCGATTACCTGCAAAGAACTTTGTGATATAAAAACGCAAGTTCTTTAGACTTATAAAAATAAAAAAGTATAATCCTTACAATTGATATTGTGAAACATCTCAAAGTGCTTCAAAGAAATTACTGTCAAGTGTAGTGACTGGGTATTTGTAGATAAATGCGGTAGTCAACTTGCAAATCGCAAGGTGCCACAAAAAGTCTATTTTACCTGGAGGACTGTTGGCCAGAACACAAGGAGAAACTCCTTTCACCTTTCAGATAGCGGTATGGGATTTTTAATGTCTACCTGAACAGGCAGGTGGGTTGGACCTCAGTTTAACCTCTCATTCGAAGGAAGCACCTCCGAAGGCAACTGATAATATTACGCTCTCCAACAATCGACTGTAAGCTCAAAGTCCCTATATAAGGGAGGCTTGAAACCACAACTTTTTAACACAGAGAGGATAATAATTCTGCCGTGCTTTCAGCCACTTCGGCCCAAAGCTTTGGAACTCTCTCCCCAACCCCTCCACCTTGCCCTCTCCTTCTCCTCTTTTAGACCACGACTGAGGACCATCCTCTTCGATCGTGCTTGTGGTCACCTCCTCCCTTCCCCAGCTCGTTGTCAAGCTCCACCACTGTTAAGCACTCCGAGACACTGTCCTGCACTAAGCACGTGATATAACTCAAGTTATTTTTGTTATTGTAATATCTCCTTTAACACAGAGGCAAGAATGGTACCAAATGAGCCAGGCTGACTTCTATAAAACGAGGAGAAATATTAAATCCAAATACATAAGACATTTTCACACGTTTTGCAGTGGGTTCCAAAAAATTGCATTACAGACACTGCTCCTATTATTCACTCATCTATAAACACTAAAGATAACTGCTTTGTTCTGTACACACTGCTCATTACACACTGACAAGGACAACCAAGCACCTGACATGCCATCCCAGGTAAAGAGCCTGAGTCTGACATGACGGATAGCGCTGTTTTGCGGCAACACCAACATACAGTAGGTGTTCTAACCACTGAAACAGCTGCGAGGCACTGAAGGTGGAAGAGTGCTTTGAAGAGGAAGCACGGAAATTATTAATCTACCCAATTTGCTGGGAAACAAAACCTACTGCAAAGAAACAAAGCTGACGTTTCAGACCACCTGCCACAAAAGATTGACCACCTGACACAAAATCACCTGGATTTAAATATTAGCTTCACACTAATAGACTCCGGCTGTAAAAACCCAAGCACTGCCACCGGTATCAATTCTGACGCTTCCCATACTTAACGTAGGACAAGGCAGTAGAACAGGAAAAGCAATGGGAAAGAACCTTATATAAGCCGTCATTAGGCATGGTCTGAATCCAAAGTTTGATTACTAAAGTTAGGAGGGTCCTTTACGCGCCATTGCAGGTCTTATATATAATAAGAATATAAGATTATAATCCTTGCATTTGATATAGCGCCTTATCACGTCTTCGAGACGTCTCAAAGCACTTCACAGAACATACTGTAAAGTGAATTGACTGTGTATTTTGTGGGCGAAACTTGTGGGCCAATTGTATATTTTTATCGTCTCCGCCCTCGCAAAATCATGAAGGTGAACGGTGTGGTATGAACAAAACAGTGTGGTATTATTAAATTTGTGATCAGCAGTGCGTGACGTGATCAGTATCTCTCTGCTGGTAAGTTTCAACTAAGGTAACTCACTAGTTACTCCTCTGACCCGCTCCCCACCCAAGAACAGTAATATAAACAGGTCGCCGCTTGCTGCGGCACACCCTCTGGCAACGAGCAGAGTCACCAAACATATCAGTGTTGGTTTGAAGGAAATCCAGCATTTAATGCGAGTACGACCTGAAATGCATGAAATCCACTCCAATTTCTGAAACCCTGAACCATTCGAGCGGTGTTGACGTGTTTATAAGTTGGGCATGACCTCTCCGTGGGGGGGAGGGGATGGGGGCAGGTGCAAAGGTACCAGTCGGCTTGATTTTTGGGTAACGCAGCATACTGACTGAGCCACAGTTTCAGCCCTCCTCCTATCTCATTTATAAACTGTTTTAAAATTAATTTTTAAATTAATTTTCTTCACTATTTACCAGTTGAACAGGAAGCCACAGCACTAAACGAAAAACCTCAAACAGAAACAAGTTTGCATTGACCAGACATCTGCTGGTAACGTTTCCATTTAGATAATATACATGCTGCTTACAATAATGAACACACACACACACTTGCTATACAGTATCTCACATCCTACATTAAGCCGGCTGAACGTCAATCATACAGATTTTGTTTGCAAGATTTAGCGCCATGAAAAAAAAAGTGAGGATAGTTTATCAGGGGCTACAGAGTAAAACTTCTAAGCATCATTACATTTCATAACACATGATGACACCGTTATAAAGCGACCCACTAAAGCACGTGTTTACCGTACAGCCTGCTCCTGCATACACCCTGCACAAGGTCTGAGTGGGACACCATGTTATGACAGACAGGGATCAGGTGGGAAATATACCCGTTAAAAACCACGAAACTGATCTACAATTTTTTCTGTTTATGAAATCCAATCTATCTGTGAGGAAGAAATCTGAAGGCAGCACACAGTCTTAATTCTTTGATTAAAATTACTGCATTGTTTCTAAAGCAGAGGTCCAAAAGCTGGATTAGGGTCAAGCAAGAAGTCGTCCTCAAAGAGTCAAAATAAATCGCAGCAGATTGAGAGGGTTCCCCTCAGAAACGACTAAACACCATACACAACTTTCAAAAAGCACGTACAATGGACATGTGGAATCCCATCTATGCAATAAATCGGACGGCGGCCAAACCAGTCATAGTACCTGGCGTAATTCAGGAGGAAATTGGATTTACACCAGCCATTTGACTATCAATTTTGCAGACATTGGTTAGGCATCAATACTCTCTGTCACAAACACTTGACTGCAGCTCACCGCAATATGACATCAAATGATGCAAACACACACACACACAAACATATACTGCCACAGTCTGGAGTGTAAACGTTTTTTGTAAAATCACAGTAAAAATGTGTAAAAATCACAGTTTAACTTAATACTGGTACGAAAAGTTCAATAGCGTTTTTTGCAGCATGAAATCGCACAAAAGATATCGCTGCAAACTTTCGTTGACAAGACATTGAAGAGAGTGGATTCTTGAGGCTGAACTGAAATGTACTGGAGTCGAAGAGTGAGTGAAGGTGCCAAACATTGAGTACAGAAGTGAGAGGGGACAGACATGGACTGAGAGGGACCAAATATTGGAAAGAAGGCAGACACTGACGAGGGTGAGAGGCATTCATTCACTGAGAGCGAGACTGAGAATGACATTGTGGGAGTGATAGGGACAGGTATGGACTGAGCTGAGAGCGAGAGGGGCAAAATATTGGAAAAGTGTGAAGAGGCAAAGACGTGGATGGACTGAAAGTTAAGTGAGGAGAGGAGGAATATTGGAAAGAGTGAAAGTAACAGACATTGGGGAGCGTTAAGACAGAAAGAGGAGAGGAAAGGAGAGGGGGAGTGGGGGGGTGGGGGGGGGGGGGAGAGGGAGGAGGAGATGAAATGTAAAAAACTTGTTGTGGAGATGGACATGAGGCAAACAAGCCTGAATGAAGCCTGAATGAAGCCAGAGAGAGAGAGAGAGAGGCCTGACTGACTACAGCACATCACAAGCCCAATGGGGTTGAGGTGTCATTTATAAAGATTTAGATATAAACACATCCATTTATTTATATTATTATATATATAATCAGATAATATATAAAGGCTCAAACCCTCTCCCCTGCCCCCCCCCCACTCCCATCCCCCACAACAAACAGAACACAAACCAAGGTCAGGAAGGGTATTGGGGGGAGAAAGGTTGTTGGGGGGGTGGGGGAGGGGTTTGTTGGGGGGGAGGGGCTTGTTTGGGGGGGAGAGAGTTGTTTGGGGGAGGGGGTTGTTTGAGGAGGTTGTTTTTTGGGGGAGAGGATTGTTTGGGGTGAGGGGCTTGATGGGGGAATGGGGATTTTGGGGGGAGGGGGTTGTTGGGGGGGAGGGGGCTGTGGGGGTTGTGTGTGGGGGGGAGGGGGTTGTTGGGGGAAGCGCTTTGAGACGTCTCGATGATGTGGTCAGGGCCAAACCTTGGGCAAGTTTCCTTACTCCACACAGAGCCGAATAATAATCCCATCAAAACCAAAAACAATAATAAATTGGTCATTTTCAATCCACGACTGTTTGTGGGCAATTGGCTGCCGCGTTTCGCCCACAAATATACGGTCAATTCATTTTACAGTCTATTCTGTGAAGCGCTTTGAGACGTTGAGAAGACGTGAAAAGCGCTATATCAAATGCAAGGATTATTATTATTATCTACACTACGAAAGACAAAGTGTTTCCGCCAATAATGCAATAACCGATTGACATAGAGACAAGAAAGGTCTTGCATGCGGGAGTATCGTGGATTTTTTTTTTGGGGGGGGATCTCCTATCGTTGATGAGCTATATTTAAGCCCCAAAATATGAGGGATGCGTGGTATTCTCCAATAAAGTAGCGACAGAGGAAAGCACTCACCCTTCTTAAGAGATATATCTACACTAATATACTCTGCAACAAATGTATGGCAGTTTTTTCGGGTTGTCATGGGAGCTACAGTCTCCCCAAC